ATTCCGGACACAAACGCTGCTGCTGGCACACGTACATCATTTTCCCTAAGGCACTTCTGCCCCGACTGCGCCCCTCCTTGTCAGCAGCCAGCTTGTGTCTGGGCTGTTTTTACACAACTGAAACGGGCAGGATCCACCTCTGCCTAGGTCGCCGATGGCTGCTCCGTGGAAGCACAGCCGTGGGCTCTGGGACTGCACCGAATGAATGGTTGCTAGGGCGTGTGGCGGCGTCTTCATCTACTGCTGGGCTCGCTCCAGTGCTTGCACGTGGGAACTTCACTAAAGTTATTTCACCAGCGCTGCGCTGAGTCCTCTTATCGTACGGAGTCTACTGAAGTGGGGCCAGCTCCCCGCCTCTGCGCGCCTCCCTGCCAAGGTTCCAGAGGGTGGAGTGGCCTGGAAGGCCGTTGGAAGAAGGGTGGGGTATTTGCTTTCTTATAAAGATGCTTTGGGAAACCGGCTCCGAAGCGCCAGGTTTTCAGGAAGAAATGAGCGTGGGTCCCAGTGGCAAAGAAAAGGTCACGAAGGCTTATTTGCTGTTAGGGAGGAAGCCTGAGAGTTCAAGTGTAAGCAGTAAGAGCGTGGCCCACGCCCAGAAGAGGGGCACCCTGGCCTGCCCCCAGAAACCCACTGGCACGAGAAGACAACCGGCGAGGTCCGCCTCACGGAACCCATTTCTGGGGCTCTCCATGGGCGGCGCTGGCTCCTGGCTCACTGCGTCCGTACTTAGCTGTCCCGGGTCCCCGCTGGTCTGGAGCGAAGTCCTCGGTCCCTAGACTCAGGGTGTATTGCACCCTCGGGTGCAAAACAGATGAGCTCCCTGGGAGAATCTGCCCGCCTCCGGGGGACGGGTCCCCAGGGACAGGCGCACGGGGGGTGACGTTCAGTTCTGCCCCACTGTGCGGAGTAGAGAGTTTCTTAATCATCGCCCCCTCCGCACAGGCACAGGCTCTTCCTCGGTCCCTGCGAGGCCCTGGAGCGGCGTCCAGGGCTCCGAATTCCAGGCGAAAACGCACAGCGAATGGCCCTGGGGATTTGCTCCAGAGAAAGCGCCGGCGTCCTGGAAGAGCCTGCCCTTCCCATCCGGCGTTCACGCAGGGCAGGCAGGATGGCATTCCAAACGCGAGCGAGCAGCGTAGCCCCGGACCCTCCCTTTAAAAAGAATAAATAAATAGAAGCCAGCAGGTAGCCCCGCTCCCCGAAACGCGCACCGCGGCCGCCGCCGGGGCGGCTGGGTGTCTGCGCTCCCCGCCTTCGNCCTCCGCAGCCCGCTCGGGAAGTGGCTACAGCTTCCAAGAAGGGGCCTCGCCTGGGACTGCCCGCTGTTCCTCGCTGGGGGACCATGGCACGGCTGGGTGCGCCCTGGCACTGGGCGCTCTCGGTCCGCATCTTCCGCACCTGGTACCTGCTGTTGGTCGCCGGACAGGTAGGCAGCCGGCGCGTCCTGCGTCCCTCGGGCTCCCGGCACTCCCCGAGCCTGCGCCGCGATGGGGAGCGCTAGAGCTTGGGGCGCGCGCGCTCCAGCGAGGGGCCGTCCCGAGGCTGCGCTGCCGCCCGGCTGGGACAGGTGGCGCGGGGTTGGGGTT